CAATGGTTCTATTCCTTCTTTAGCTGATGGTTCCAATCTGTGTTGATGGAGGAAGAAAGGTCAGCTCAGTGGCCCCTAACTTGTGGGGTGCCATGGGGGTCAGTATTTCTTTCCTGCATTTTATCATCTATATGAAATGACTGGGAGGGGTCATTCATTGATTCAGGGTACAATCTAGACTCTAAAGTTAGGCTACAAATACAAACCTGAGAGTTACTTGGCATTCTTTCTAGTCATAGAAAACAACCGTAACAAATGTTTATGAGAATTAGCTATCAAGAAATGAATAACTATAGAAGTAGAATAATTGGCTTTAAAAATGGTAAAATTAGCAAATATGTTTGATAACCTCCAGAATCTGTTCTTTAAATGTATTTGGTACATTCTTCTTTCCTGCACCAAGCAATTTATCAATTTCTTCACTGGAATAATTTCTCTTGAAAGTAGGAAAAACTGCTGCTGTATTTCTCCATTTTATCTCAAAACAAAGTACATTATTGAGTACATATAGACAATTATCACCTTGACTTTTCACGTATACTATTTGTCTATCAAACAGATTTGAGCTTATTATGCTGCTGCTGCTGCTGCTGCTGCTGATGATGATGATGATGATGATGATGTGATAACATTATATTTTTACTTCTGGCTGCCAAATCTAAATAAGTTAACAGTGTAAAATTTTAGAAAATTTCACAATAGAAGAATGCCATGGTCTGCAACTATTGGGGGGGGGGGGGAAGTCATGGATAGAACCCAAATTTTAAATACATAGAGGATCAAATAATAATTTTACTGAATATGGAATAATTATATAGTAATAAGATACATAAATGTTATGGTATCTGAATATTTAAAAAGTTGCAAATTTGTAACATGGTTGGCATAACAATACTAAATAAATAAATAAAACATGTCTCAAAGTTCAAGAGTAAGCTTAAAGAAGAAAATAAAGAGTAACTTGTTGAGATGGGTGGCTATAGAAAATAAATAAGTAAATAATTAAGTAAGTACATATGTTCACCTGTTGGGAAAAGGGTTCAGAAAAAGAAAAGACAGGAAAAAATGAAGAGACAATAACTATGCTTAATTAAAACTATAGGTAGACATATATTACCCATCCTATGATAATGTGAGGTTGATGCTAATAAAAATGGTGGTGATGATAATGTAAATAATGTTTTTGAAAGAAGCAAGAATATCCCTCAATTCTTCAATCATTTTTATTATCCTGAATGAAAAATTGGAAATGTATCAAATTAACTCCATTGTCTATTTACCTTCACAGTTGATTTTGTTAAGAAGTGGGATATGCATAATGGTTATGCCATCTCCTCTGAAGATGTAACAATTTGATAGATTGTATCTTCTGGGAAGTTCACTTGCATGTATCTCAGGAAAATTTAATTCATGAGTTACTAATAGAAGAGAATATATATAGCTCAGGGTTAAACTGCAGAGTCCATGGGGTTCTCTGAGCTTGGTTGTTTGCTTGTAGACATTTTGCTACCTATCTAGGTAACATCTTCAGTGCTAGAAGGGAGTGAGGTTTGCTCTCTGTTTATATACAGAAGCTTGTCCTGTCAGTGTTAGTGGAGGTTTTACATTTTGCTACCTATCTAGGTAACATCTTCAGTGCTAGAAGGGAGTGAGGTTTGCTCTCTGTTTATATACAGAAGCTTGTCCTGTCAGTGTTAGTGGAGGTTTTTTTTTTTTTTTCTTGGTAGTTCTTAGATTAGGTTGTTTTTTACTGCTTGTTTGCCTGGTGTTAAACCTGGTGCTAATCCCTGTTTATCTGGGTGTTGATTGCTGGCGAGGAGGTATTCTGGTCTTTTTGTTTCCTTTTTATTGTCTTTTTTGAATGGTGTATAGATGTTGTTTATCTCTGTATGCCTGTTGATAGCTGACTTGTCTGAATACCAAGCTTCCAAGAATTCCCTTGCATTTTTGGATTTAGCTTGGTCTAAGATGCTGACAGTTTTCAGTTGAAACTATGGTTGAGTGTGTCCATGTGTTATGAGATTAAGGAGTTTTCATCATGTCTTCTGACTGCTAGTTGGTGTTCATGGATGCGCTCTGCTAGTCTTCTGCCTGTCTGTCCTACACAGTGGCTGTTACTGTCCTTACACTGTATGTTGTAGATGACTTCTGTTTTTTCTTCTTGGGCTATTGGGTCTTTTGGTTTACTTAAGATGTTCTGGAGGGCTTTAGTTGGTTTATGTGCTACAGTGATGCCATGTGGTTGTAATAGTCTGTTGATATTGTTTCTCAGATGTTTCTGATGTATGACAGTATTATTCTTTTCATAGCTTGTGTTGGGTATGCTGTAGTGGGTTGAGTGGTCAGTCACCTTTTGATAAAGTTGCATGGGTTTCCATTTTGTTGGAAGATGTTGGCCTATTTCCTTTTTCTGCTGTTCTGGGTTGCTGCAGTGTGCTCGTGCTTGTCTGAATAATGTTCTTATACAGCTCCTCTTGTGGGAGGTTGGGTTGTTACTTTGGCAACGGAGCACTTGGTTAGTGTGGATTGTTGCTTGATAGACTTATGTGTCTAATTTGCCGTCATTTCCTCTGCATCTAATGTCTTCAATAAATCTTTCCGTCTAATCTTTTTTTCAATTTATTTCCAACTTTCTGTTGAGTTGTAAAGAAAATGAAATCAGGACAAGCCTGGGTGAGGAAGCATTCCTTTAGGTGGAGAACTTTGGTTTCTTGGTCTGGTCTACATTGAAAGGTTGACACCCCTCCCTTCTTGGCCCTCCCCTGTCATCACCACAGTCCAGCTACTAATCAAACAGCAGTGTTGGGCAGGAGTCGAAAAGGAGAGGAGAGAAGGAGTCAATGTTTAGTGAGGGTCTTTGGAGCCCTTTGCCATTTCAAATATACAAAAGTTTTATTTTTAACAGTTGATGTGCATAATGAGGTTTCGGTGAGTCATCAGCTCTACATAGCAAAGCAATTTATACAAAAGACAAACCTTGCTATTGTTCTGTTTGTTAAAGCAGTGTTTTATTTAGACAATAGGGCATTTCCTGATTGTTTGTTAATCTGTTCCATGTGTTATTCTGTATAACTCTTTTTTTCCTTCCTCTCCATTAGAGATTCAGTGATTAATTAACAAATTAAAAAAAAAAAAAACTGCCCTCTTTTCAGTACTGAACTTTCTTTAATAGCTTGAAATTCCACCACTACAAGGGGTCTTTGTCTAAGTCAATTAGATGTTGGGGATATACTGTATGGCAAAGTAATGTATTATGCCATCTTTGGAAATGTTGGCCTCATTTTATGGCTGATGCACCTCTCCTGTTAGCTTCCTTGGAGATTTCTACATTGCACCAGTCCAAGATTGGAATCTTTATGTCCCCAACATTGTTTTTCTTTGGCTACTGAATCAATTAATTTTCAGCTCAGCTACAGAGTGTGTGGAATCATCAATCAGACAGTGTTCTAACAGTCCAGCCAGGTCATCTGGGTGGTCAGTTTCCCATGATGAGAAGTCTTGCTTCTTCCCACTTCCCACAGCCTTATTTCTTTCTGTTCCTATTAAGACACTATGGCACCCTGGTACAATTCCACTAACTGGGGAGTAGGGTGGAGTGGGGCGGGATGGCAGTTTTACAGTTTCCCTTCACAGTGATCAGTTGCCATGAAAACAAATTCTGGATAAGTTAAAGACAAGAAAGTGGAGTGGGGAGCACAGACTGGATGCATCTTTTGGCATTCCTATATTGGTTGGGCTGAGGGAATGTGGATAATTCATCCAGAGATCTGTGTGTTTTGAAAGCAATGAGAGCAAGGACAATTGGAAGTTGATGTTACTTGGTGTCTGAAAGTCTATGGAATGGAAATTGCACCAAGAAGTAGTTCCATTTATTATCTTTCATATGGCCTGAATTAATTGATAGTTGGATCCTGTTTATACTCATGTAGGCTCCGTCTAAAATGTAGAAACTGAGAAATGTGTATCTCATGGGGAGTGTAGCTAGACAGGAAAGGCTCTTTACTACAGATGTTTACCATGAACACACGGAGTGCAATGAGAAAGCTAACAGAGGAGGATGCCCACCCTCTTTCCTTTCATTATGTGCAATATATCAATTATAAACTGGATTCACATATTAAAGCTAAAATGTAGTTTGTTTGCCTTCAGTTTATTTGCCATTTAAATCCACTCCTTGTGGGGTGTGTAATATGGTTTATAGCATAGAATGATAAGTGCATCCAATAAATTTTTATTCAATAAGTTATGGTTAAACAAACTATGATTAGGATAATGTGTGAATCAGTACTCTATAGCGTAGTTTGAAGTTATACATTTGAGAGAAGGGATCAAATATAGGTTTGGCTTTATTTTTCTGCCACTCCTACTCTGCATTCCTTAACAACAGATTACTTGATCACACATACCATATACATTAATATGAACACAATTCTTATCATGAGACATAAGGTGCACACTTCTTTAAACAATATTCATAGCCCATATAAGCTGATGGAAAAACAGTAAATGAGAATTTTATGTATGCAAAGAGAGAAAGAATTATGGTGCTGGGGTGTACTGTAGTTCCATAAGCAAATGACTTCAAATAAATTCTCCATCATGTTCAGGGGCATAGAAACTGGGAAAATAAGTTCTTAAGATCAATGTTTCCTCTAATTTGCTGTATGCAGAAAAATTGTTTTGTTCATTTTTTCCCAAACCAAGGACAAATTTGTGCACCTCAATATGAGTAAATTGAAAATACATGTAATAGCAACATGTTAAAATGGTTACATATATCTTAAAGCATAGAAACTAGAAAGTATAGTAGTATGTCACAAAGATGCATAAAAGTTGTATCTTCAAGACATTTTTTTACTCCTAGCCACCACCCCCTGTTATCTTTTTGGCAGTATTGTTTAGAAGTCACTAGCTAGATTCATACCTAAGGCAAGACTAGAACTTACGGTCTCCTGGTTTCTAGTCTGATGACTTAACTGCTACACCAAACTGGATAGCCCTCTGTCTCTTTAATTTTTCCCATTCTTTCCTTCTTCTCTGGATGTATTCTGAACTCATATTAATTTAAACATTTAAATTTTTATAATGTTAACAGCAATCATGGATCTTGTGCAGCCCAAAACTCAACAGATATTAATTAAACCTTTTTTTTGGAGAAAGATGGGAAATTACATAACCCTTCATTGATACTAATAATTAGTAACAGTGCTTTCTGTTGGAGAACAAAGTTTCTTATGTCAGTCTACTATTATAATGGGAAATATTTGCTCAAGCTCTTTATGAAGGAGAGCCTACAATGTGCTTAATTTCCTCCAGTATCGTTTGCTGAACATTTGCTACATTATTCTTTGCTGCAGTGAGCAACTTTTTAATCTCTTCATCAGAATAGCTCATCTTGAAAGTAGAGAATTCTTCTCTGTATTCAGCAATTTTACCTGAAAATGAGAGAGAGTCTGAATTTTAAAAAATCTGAATTGGGAGGCACAGAAAATACAGAATATCTGGACTCTAGAAGAAAATGACATTTTACTAAGAGGCATTATTATAGACTAGCAAGAATGCAGATCATCACTGGGTTCCAATGACCCTCCATCTTCCTTGGACAAATTAAACATTGTTTGGAAAGTGGAAACTTAAATATAAATAATTAGTGACAACAGTAGCAGTTAGGGCCGTGCTGATCTTCAAAGGGGCACTTTACTTCAGCAGTGGCCTGAACAAAGCTTTAAGATGCTTCCTGAAGCAATATGGTCCCTCATATCTAAAAGTAAAGAGGCATGTTCATTTACTTCACTTCTTTTTGGCCTTCTCCAGAAGTTCTAATAGTCAGAAAAGCCTTCCAATTAGCTACCAGAAAATGCTAAAAGAGATTTCTATACAGGCATGTTCAGAAACCTCTTTGGCTTATTGAATTATTGGTCATAACTTCCAGGTGACCTAACACAGCTTGTCAAAAAAAAAAAAAGGCATCTCTTTCCCTTAAGGAGAAAAAGCATGTGTCAAGGCATAGCCAAACCTGTTCATGCAGGCCTAGCAAACCTTATGATTGGTCAGATTTAAATTGGAGGAGGCTGGGACTATTTTATAAGACTGTGAGGTTTTCAGAGCTGGGTTCATTCATATTTCAAATAGTCCTTATCCTGATTTTGGCCACCACCAACAAAAACAAAATATTTGACATTATGAAATCTTGTTTTGACCTGCTAGACAGGATTTTCTTGTGTCAAATCTTTTGTTTTACAGAAAAATCGAGAGAGTAAGGAGTAGAAATTATACATACCAGAAGTGAAAATATGCCAAAGAAATAGAAGCAACAATTAGAGAGAGATGGTTTTAGTTTAAGCATTAAGAGGATTATCATCAAGAAATTCACCAAATGTAACATATTCAGTATTGTTTGACCCCAATAATTTTTTGACACTGGCTATTTCTCAAATGATCCTCATTCCCAGGTTACCTGGACAGTTGACTTTGTTGAATAATGGACAATGAATAACAGTTGGGGTGTGTTCTCCTCTGAAGATGTAGCAATCTGACGGAGTATCTACATCTTGTAATTCATTCTCATCTATTTTGGGAAATGGAATCCCATGCGCTTCACAGTATTCAGCAGCTTTTTTAATTGTCTTAAAGAGAAAAGAAAAAAAATAATATAAAGAAATTGCTGATAGCTAATTAAAGAGAATAGTTATAGCTATTTCTTGTGTTGCATTTAGAGTTCAGGCTCCTTCGCAACTCAACCTTGGAAAGAGGAAAGCAATGTATCATGTTTCCCTTCAATATTAATCTAGTAATGCCAGAAACTCAAGGGAACTAAGGAATATCAGAATGTGAAGAAATTGTACTGAAAGTTCTCCCATGGGAATATATGATTCTATAAAAGAAATTATTGTGAGATAGACACAGCACTGCCAAGGAAACTTCAGAGTGAGACTCTATAGAATAGCATTCTAAATCTCTCCTGTTAACATTTCCTTTTCAAATATAGTTTTAAAAACAAACAAGATATGTCTTGCTGAATCATGGAAGTATTATCCTCCAACCAAATTCTAGACATGAACAATGGCCTCTTTATTTCAAATTAATTACCTGAAAAGGATCTCCAGCACTGAAGTCAAAAGAAAGAATCAACTTCACCTGCCTCTCAGGGCGCAGAATTGGTGGATAAGCTGTGTTTATGGCCAGACCAGCATCAATCAAAGATATAATGGGATTGCTTGTCAGTTCAGGAAATTCAACATCAGCTAATCACATGAAATGAAACAGAATGTCAGTGTTGCAATCAGTACAAATTTGCCTACGGCAGGTATTAAGAATGAGTATGGGTACTATTATTGCTAGTGCTAACAGAGTTTCATGCCCACAGTACAATAGATATTAAAAAGATTGCAGAAGTCATATTGTCCTTATACTACTACTGTATACAATTGAGTTTGTGCTGCAGAGCAGTCTCTTGAGATGCAGAGTAATTGTAAATCTGGACTATACAGCTTGTAATATATGAAATGCAGCCTATGAGATACCAGAGAAGGACACAAAGAACAATGAATCATCTGTTTTTGTCCCTCATTTGAAATCAAAGCATACATCAGTGACAGGGATAAAATTGTCTTCAGTATCTTGACACTGTATGTTTGCATCATCTTACTCTACAAAGGAGAACAAGATCTTGTCTATCCATTCAGATGCTTGTAAAGTTTTCTCTACTTTTTAAAATGATACTCAGAACTTAAGAACCAAAATGATATTTCACATTTATTACATATCTCATCCTTTCTCAAAAGAATCCAGTCATTATACACAGGGATAACTCATTATACACACACCAACAAAGTTGCTCAAGTGGCTAGATGGCAAGAAACTTAACATCATTAAATCCATTAATTGAAATCTAACATCACTTGAGCTGTCTGACAGGAGATGGAGAACATATACGTAATTGGGGGTATGTTTATTCCTATAGAAGTACTGCTGTGAGTATGCAATGTCTCGTAGCATTGAGAAGTTAAAGACCATTCTCTTGTAGAAGTAATCAGGTAGGAGCATTTTTCTGTAGAAGAAATCTGTTGGGCAGGCTACATTGCCTACCAAGTGAGAAAGGTGGAACTAACCAGGAGGAGGACCCTAGTCAAAAGGGGAGCAGCCATTCTCTTCCTACTAGTACCACCTTAACCAGTCCTTCCTGCTTGACACCTTTCCTCCCTCCCTCCTTCCCTTCCTCCTTCCCACACAACAGGCTGCTAGGGAATTGCAAGGATTTTTTGAAGTTCGGCTGAGAGTCTTGTGAAATTAACTGAAGACCATCTGACATTTTTGGTCCTGCCCAGGTCTGGACTGTGCTATTCTTGAGGTTGTGTGGGATGAATGCAGTAACCTGTGCTTTCTCTCATATATGGGGTTTTTACAGTGTGCCATAACCAGGCTACTCCAAATCTGCAGCACTGTGATCCCAATCCAAAGAATTCAAGCAAAAGATTTCAGTCATAAGGAGGAGATCAACCGTCTAGAAAATATGTAGCTTCAAAACTCGTACCTAAACAACTCTACATACTTCATACCTAATCAACTCTGGAACTGTGTGTTTCCATAATCTTGGCTGATTCTAAGAACAGAGTTTTTGCTTGTTTTCTGAGTCTGCTGCACTGTTCTTGAAATCAGAATAAAGCTGATGTCTGTGCAACACTGTAGTTCCGCATAGCTTGTGGACAATCTGCTTTTCTATTGGCAGGAATTCTTGACTCACCTAAACCTCAGTACCTGGACTTAAAGCAGCTTTCCCCATTTCCCAGAGCTTCAGTCCCCCTTCCCTCCAGTTCCTGTAATAATAGGCAGACAAGGTTATAGCTACTGGTAAAAGTGCCTGCTTACAAAAATGCCAATATGCTGTCCTTTCATCCTCACAGCTCCTGGGCTATTCAGTGCAACAGAGGAATGGTTGCCAGACAGCTCTGCAGCTCTCTTAGCCCAACCTACCTCATGGGATGTGAGGAGACATGGGAGAAGGGAATGTTATGTACGCCACCTTGAGCTCTTGAATTAAAAGCAAGATATAAAACTAAATAAATAACACTATCAAAGAAATGTTCATGTCCTAGCTTCAGCAAATGGGCAAATGCCTATGCAACTGGCAGGCAAGATGCAGGCACAATGTGGGTGCTTGAGGGTGAGGCTTGCAGAGATGCTGGGGGAGAACATGCACTGTGGAAGGGGCTTGGTAAAAAATGCAGTGAGGAGGGGAAGGAGGGGAGATACAAAGAGACTGCTGATATGGGTGGTTGGAATGGTAGGTTTGCAGCAAGGCTTGCAAAGGCATTAGGAAAGCTTGCCTAGAGAAATATCAGCAGATGGGCAGGAGAGATGACAGAAGAGGAGTTGGGAAGCAGAAGAAAGAATATGCGTGTGCACAACAGCATACTGGAGGCTGAGGCTAAGATAAAAGCCAGATCAGTCAGTCTGTAATCAGAAGCACGCAACATCTTGTAAAGTGCTGAGAGAACAGCCAGAGGCTTGGTCAGGAACACACCAAGGTCAAAAATGTAGCAGGAGTAAGAATATGTGAAGTACAAAGCCAGATGCCAAGGTTGCTTCCAGCAATAGAAAGCAGTCCCTGTGCAGTTTAAATCCTCTCCAAAAGCATACACAGCTGAAGCTTTTCTTGCCTAGCGGTTGCCAATAATGAACCACTGGGCTTGCTTGCAGAGTCAACATCTTGCTCATGAAGTACTTACTTTGATGGGGCACAGGATTCTCAGGCTGGGGGAGTTGCCCTGCTTCTTGGCACCCATGTTGGTTAAAGAGAGATCAATGCTGGCCAAGGAGGGACCTGAGTGTTTGATTCAGTGGCTACTGAATCTGCGGGTGCAGCACCCAGTGGGACTTGATCTGCCCACCTCTTGGAGCCTGGCTCTGAGGCCAGGACATAAATGCTTCATTATACTTTTTTAACACTCCAAAAATGTTGGTTTTTTGCCCCCCTCCCCTCTTTTCTTGAAAATGAGAAGATCATGTTACATACATTGTTAGATGACATCCAAAGTGGAATTTCCTATACAGAGCATTTTCCATATCTTCCGTAAAGATGCAGAAACAGAATGCAAATGGGAAATACAAGATTTTGATGATATCCCCAAGATTCACATATAACGTCTTTTTAATGCAATAGTATGATGATATTCTCAGTTGTGATCTTACAGATATATACAAAATTACTAGTGCAATAATGATGGAAACTTACAACATTGGTACAGGAAATTATTGATGCTTCCCCATGACCAGTTCAAAAGACATAAACAAGTCTTATTCACCACTTTAAGATAAACCTGACTGGAGTCATTAGTAAAACCTAAAACAAATGACAGTGAAAGGTAGGCATGAAAAACATACATTAATAAATAGTTGAAATGTCAGCTACTCCCCACTCATTTTTTTTTTAACCTTGAAACTTAAATATTGCTTTTCTAACATATTGTATAAAATTAAGGAACAAAGTAGTGGAATATGTCTTATATTTATTATTTTGTCAGGGGGTCGCCTCCCACAATAAGCATGTTTAACAGCTGCTGTTTATAACCCCATTGCAATCTGTAGTGTCAACAGTTAAATATTTTCATTTCCCCCAGGGCCCCAGCATAAAGCTATATTGGAATCCTTATGGAAAATTTAAAAAGTAGATCTCTGCAAGACCTGCTTTTTCTCATGGAGTAGGATTGTGTGTAATTCAATTGCTTTGTCAATGAAATCTTAATCTTCTGCAAAACCTTTTTAGCAATGTTTTCATCTATTGTAAAAACCCAGCTTTTTCAGAAGGCCTTTAGTGAATAAGTAGCTAAAAGAAGATCCACACCATTATTGTTTATAATTGCTTACAGTTTTTATAGGGTTTTTTTTTTCTTTCAATGATATTGTTCTTTTTACCATGTTTCACTTTGTTCACTGCCTAGAAACTGTGAGGTGGTTTATACATCTAATAAATAAATTATACAAAAATATTAAAGAAGTCATATAGTATGAACAAACATTAAGATGCCTGTTTCATGCCTAGTCTTTCTCAGATGCTATTCTTTTAGTCACTCTCCTATAGGTGGAACAATTAAGTAGTAACTACAAAATACCACTCCTAGGATAGTGACTGAGCAGTAGCCACAAATTAAATGAACAGATAAAATCTGTTCAGTCTATCTAGTTTCATAGAATGTCTTCATCATAAATATTACCACTTTTTGTTACCCACTGGTGACTTCATAGAAACAAAGTATAATAAAATTCCTTTCTTAAAATGCATGCCATACAATAAGTCCTACTGATATATTGTGTAGCTCAGTGTTTCTCAACTTTGGCAATTTTAAGTTGCATGGACTTTAATTCCCAATATTCCCCAGCCTGGCTGGAGAACACGACTTAAAGTTGCCAAGGTTGAGAAACACTGGTCTGGCTTATTATTTTTCTGTTAAATTCTGATCTCCTTAAGAGACCCAGAGGCTCTGAAGAAGGATGAAGCAACCTGACAACAACTTGCCTCCAAAATCAGCATCCAACGTTTGGAATAATGTCATATACTCTTTCTTTTTTCTCTGTTCATCTGCAGAATACCAGGTCTCCTTCATCCTTCTGATCAATTCATAGCTTTTGCTGGAACTGTAATCTTTACAGCAAGGGAAGAGGAAGTTTTAGTGGATTAAAGCAGCAGGACACAAAAATGATTTTTCTAGGCAGTGTAGCAAACGAGTAGTGGATAAAAGTAAAATTTTGAACCGATTAACAGTACATTTCTGTTCACATCCTCTCAAAAGTACATCCTCCTACATTCAGTTGGAGGCAGAGCTAAGATGACAATAGAACAACAGTTTCCCTGCTGAGTTCTTTATGATGTTTTATTTGCTTTTACAAAGAGCCTACACATCTTAGTTTTTATCTTGTTTTATTTAATCAATACATTCTCTGTGAGAGATACCCTAAATCTACATTCAGTTGTAAGTAGTAAGTATGTTTAAGATTGCAAACTAACTCAGTTCATCTAAGTTAGTAATGCTTTCATTTCCATGGTTTAGCATTCATCAGAATAGACAGAATATAATTATTAATCTTTTAAACCTTTTAAACCTCTTTGTTTAAAAGAAGAATGGTCAACTAAAGTTTGAGTTAGTAAACTGGTGGGGAGTAATTTTAACTGATGGCAGCAAATTTTATTCAGTGGATCTTGGGTTGAAGGTTCACTTATTTATTTTGACACTGAGGGATTTTTAGAATATAGAATGCTTAAAAATGAGCTTTCTTCTAATAATGTTTGATAACTTTGGTTTATTATGCCTGAAGTTAGTTTTAATTTACTGGGTTACACTATCAGAAAATAAAGTAATTAATCATAGGCAAAATGTCATATGAAACATTCATATTGCATGTCCAGTTGCTTTTGAATAGCCCCCCACCCTGTTCATTAAAAACTTCATTAGAGGCCTTAAAATGGTTGCTCCCTTCAGGATTAGGCAGCTGGGATATACAAAACATATTTTCAGTGGTAACTGGGAAATGGTCTTCTTAGAAACCCTTCCTGTGCACCTTCACTGTTAATTTTTGGATACAGATGAAAGATTTATACAACCTGAAGAGAAACTGGATTATATAAATCTTTCACCTTTTACACACACACACACACACAATGGAGAGCATTTAACCTGTCAGGTTGTCTTGCATTTGGAACACTATTCCCTCAGAGATCCATATGACTCCTACCCTGATGATGTCGTGAAATGCACTGAAAACCTGGGCATTCAGGCAAGGTGATTGGTAAGCCCTAGTAAGATTTGGTTTGGTTCTGTATGCCCACCCTACCCTCCACCCCAGAATGTACCTAATCTGTTTCTCCATTTTATTGTTTTTATTGTTCTGGCCTTTTATCATATACAGTGCCCAGAGTCATTACATCCATACATGAACATAGTAAATGCTTCTCATCTTTTAGTAGATACTATGTCAATGCTACTTTTTAGGGATGTGCACAAAGCACCATGTCTGAGACACCTTGAGCCACTTCTGGTTCAGAGGATTTACTTGCAGACACTACTCAATGACCCCCAGAAGGACATGACCTAGTAGGTGGTTTAGCGTAGCCCAGAGGGACAATGAAATATTCTGGAGCTCTCTGAAACTTTCTATTTCCAAATCAGTGAGCTCTGCACATATTTATTGCTTTTGCTGTACTGTAACTATTTCCTTTGTTGACTAGTTGTTGGCTTCCTTTCAAAATATTTATTTTATTAAATAAGATTAATGTAATTCTTATCTGTTTGGGATGTAGCTGGGAAAAACAAACTTTAACATAATACAATTTTATGTTCTGGAATTGGTCTTCCAGATGGCTGAATTCTTTTTTTGATGTCTGCTGTTTTCTTCTGTTTTTAAGCCACCTGGAGTTGTTGTGGAATCAATCTCAAAATTGAATTAAATAAATAAATGGAACTGAGACTACCAAAAACAAACAGATAAAACCTTTATCTGTATATGGGGTGCATGTTAACTTACCTTTCAAGATGTTTTCTAGGTGGTCAAGTTTATCTACTCCTCTTTTATCTGTAGATTCCAACAATTGCAGCTCCAGGAGAGTTTTATAGCATTTGAAGAGCATATTAAACTTCTCACTGTCTGTGTCTTGGCAATTGAAAAGATAAGAAAATACCAGTAAAAATTCTGCCTTGTTCTAGAGTCAGATAAAATTATCTGTCTTGAGTAAACACTTTGCTTAAATAGCCGAGCCTTGTCTTCCACCCCTTGTGGACATAGAAATCTTGGAAGATGAACTCTTTTTCATGTTTTCATTTCAAATTCTTAAACTCCCAACAAGCAAAGAAGACAGGAACAATTAGCTTAATGTGTCTCTATGTTTAAGCTATAAATGCCACTTTTTATTTAGTCAAAAATGACTCCCAATACAAAGGGTTTTTTTTGTTTGTGTTTGTGTTTTTGTTTTTTTTGCTAAAATCCTTAGGAAAAAGAATTCTGAAGGGGTTTCCCCCCTTTTAAAAACAATCCAAAAGGGACTGGGTGTACTCAGTGTGTGTATAGAATGATGTGAGTGATATCCTGAACAAGGGAGTACTTTACAGAGGAATATTTTGTTACAATCTTACTCGTTAAGATGAGGAGAAAATTGGTAATCCTTTAAAAGTATAAATTGGTAGCTTTATGCTTTGAAATCAACAACCCAGAACATGTGCTTTTAGATAATTGATCTCTCTATAGAACTGGCAATTCCTTGCTTTCTCTAATAGCATCCTTGTAATTACTGGAGTACTCTCCATTGTGTTATCACATGCCAGCTCAAAATTAGTGAAGTAGCAAGATTAAGTTGAAGAGCATGTATAGTACTTTTCTACTATAGCAGAATACAGAATCTACTACTATAGATTCACTTAATTTATACACTGGCATAGAACAACAGGACAAAAAGAGATGAATGCTGCTGTAAAATAAGGATTTATAATCCCTCATAGTGAACAGGCGATATACTAAACCAGTACCCTATTAATGAGGAAAGCAGCAAAAGAAGGAATTTGTTATTCCTTCAGTTCTTAAGACATATGTACTGCATTCAGCCTGAAGGATCCCAGATTCAGTTTCTTGAGAACCTTGGGCCCATAAGGAGGAACCCTGGGGTCCCCCAAGATCCTCTCAGCAGTCTGCAACATCAAAATAATTTGCCAGCCTATGTAGAAAAATAATACAATATTAAAATCCCATCAGACAATCTTGAGAAGTGGTAGTGGCAGCTAATGCATCAATTGTTATTTTTTAATATGGCAAATATTGATAAATATAGCCCATACAAACAAAAACGCTTTTGGGGTCCTCCATAATTTTAAAAGGTGGGAAGGGGTCCTGAGAGAGAGAGAAAAGTTTAAGATACACTTTTTGTTGTTGTTGTTCAGTCGTTAAGTCGTGTCCGACTCTTCGTGATCCCATGAACCATATTACGCCAGGCCTTCGTGTCCTTCACTGCCTCCCTGAGTTTGGTCATTGCTTCAGTGATGCTATCTAACCAAGATACACTGGGAGCTTCCAATAATCCATCTAGCCCTCTAGCAATCTCAATTAGCATGCCAGTAGTGAATGTTGCTGGAAGTTGTTGCTCAGTAACATCTAGGAGGTACAGGTTGACAACTCCCGGTTGCTTAATCTGTGGATTTAGAAACTAACCTTTCACACAAACAGACCGGGTATAACAGGTAGAAGGACTACTAGTACGTTGATTTATTTCATCTAGAAACTTAAAGGGCACTTATAGGATCTCCCCTCATTTGATTTTCACAAAAACTTTATAATGGTTTGCCCAGAGTCAATTGCTGAACTCCTTGGTCATTTGGATAGTGCAACTGGACCTCCCTGGTCTCAGCCTAAACAAGTCAGGGAATAAAGATGTGGAAAGAAAGTGAAGGAAAGGGATACCCACACACATTATAAATCTCACCTAATTCTGTTGACGTAAGGTCCTCTGTTCTCTCATATTTTCCAAAATCTTGTAAAGCATCTTGAAAGATAAAGGAATACATTCACAGATGTAAGAGTTTACTTTTGCTAGCACAATGCTGCAACAAAGTTTTCAACATCCCGAAAGATGTATTAGTCAATATGTTGTCAAAATGTTGGATTTTCTCTATAACTCATTCTTTTAACCATGAGACTTCCCTGGCCTTTATAATGCTTAGTGATATATTTGTATAAACCTGGAAACTCTACTACACTATGTACTGTACATTATCCCCAGCACTGAATATTTGCATCAGAAACAAGGAAAGATGAGCCTAGAATCAGCCAAATCAGTCTATTTACTACTAGATAGGCATTCAAGACTATCAAAGCTGACCTTGTTCACCATCTGTAAGTATAAAAAATACTGAGAGAAAGAGGGAGTGAGAGCATATCTGGAGAATGCAACATCATCTTCCATATCTTTGACTCCTTAGGACTCGGGTAAGCAAGTCTATGCTCTCCAGATATTTTGGAATTCAACCCCCATAAACTTTAGCCAGTATAGAGTGTGATTATGGATAATGGAAGCCATAAACTAAAACCTCTGGAAGCTACTGCTGTAGGTTCTACGTTTGGGAAGCAAGGACAGTTGGTTCAATATACATAACTAAGCATTATATGAATCCTTTGTGATGTACCTTGACTCATGGACTATATCTTTCTAGTCCAAACATAAAAAGAGCAATACCTGATATAGTCTTTGAAATGTCTTGCTCACCTGCAAGGGCACTTCCCCATAAGCCTAAAAATAGGGAAAATATGGTTTCATCAGTACATCCCATATTATAATCTAGTGTTTGTAGAAGACCCATTTGTTTTAAAAGGACAAAATTTCACCATGTAACATAGAAAAATGGAGGAAATGTAGCCATAAACCATCTTCTCTTTGTACCTCAGATTATCATTAATGGCTCTTGGTTACAATCTTGCACAACTTCTTCTGCAGAGCCCATGATGAAGTGATTGCTCTTTAGATTTGTTTGAACTATAGATTTTTAATCTGCGGGGACACTTCCAGGCTCTGTGCCCTCTCCACATTTATATTAAGTGGCCAGGCAAACACAGAATGTTTTCCTTTGTTTGAAGTTTTGCATTCCAAGAAAGCTCACAAAGGACAAATATTCAGATAATGTACCTTGCAAATAGCAAATATTTTTCTCTTTTTTCTCTTTGACTAGCTGCCCATTCTGAAATATGCTTCCAAAGTATTTGATGTCTACATATGCCCCTAGTCCAGGAATTCCAGCTTCATGAGGGGTAAATTCAAACCAGGTACCTGAAAAAATTACAGCAAAAAAAAATAAAAAGGGAAAGTTGCCATTCTAATAAGATTAGTAAAATTAGATTTATTTTGTCATTCAAACCTGGACTTTACTCAAGACTATGATTAATATTAAGATAGAAGCCCTAATCACAATTTAAAACCATGGCTTATTATAGATTTCCCTATTCTTACCCAAACTAATAACTCCCCTTTTTTCAGACATAGAATTGACTGTTGAAATAAAGGGGCCGTAGAAGAAATTAGATTTCATTTACAACATGTACAGTGGCTCTGATCCAGTAGTGCCACCACATGTTTGTACTACCTTTTTTTTTTCAGACAAAAATGGAAGAACAGGAAGTAACACTCAGCTAGTCACTTCATTGTGGCTGAGATATTGCCAGTGGAAAGGGGAAACTGCAAAACTGTCCTTGGAGATGTTTGCTGTGCTACGTGAAGCATAAATCACCAGTATATTTCTTACCCGTGGTTAATGCTAAGTTTGGTTAATGTTATTTGCAAATGTCTAACGTTCAGAAGCCTTGCACAATTGCTTTTGTCAGGGTTTTGGTTTTTGTTTTTTGGCCTACTGACAAGATAAAAATAATGTTAGCATGCCTCTAGTGTATTAATTTCAACATTGGAGTAGGTTGAATGAAAAAAAAAAAAAATCTGTACTCTAAAAGGACACTTATTTACTTACAGCAGATGCCCTAACAACTCTCAAAGAAAATTAGACAAATTAGGCAAAATTAGCCATAATGAAAACACAACCACTGTCACAGCAGCTTTGTGTCTGCAAAACATAGACCTTTATTCCTCCAGTAATACAACGAAGCCCACCTTAAATATTATTTTAAACTTGATATTTTATGGTCAGATTCCAATTTTCTATGAACTTAACATTCATGTATTTTCATTTTAGCCTCTCTTTCCTTAATTTGTTGTATGATTAGCATTACCAGGTCTAGCTTGTAAAAATGTGGATGACCAAGATATAGAAAACCCTCTTGGCTGCCATCTAATGGTTATCTGAACTGCTGAAGCCCTAATGTTACACTGATAACCCTAACATTATATTTTGCAAAATAATAGCAACAACGGCAGCATCTCAACAGAGTCATTTACACTTCATTTTGTTAAGAATTATCTAAGGAAACAAGAGACGTCATAGTGATAGCAGAATTCAGAACCTCAGAACCAAATAATATCAAAGGCTGAATGCTCACTAAAGGTAGCCTACCATGAATTAAACTCTCATCTCAAGCAGCAACCATGCTGTGCAGGAAAATGTTCCTACAGTTCTTCCATCAGTTCCCATCAAATTTAACAAAAGAGAATCTACTTTTAAACTTCCTTTCAAAAGACAGGAGACATTTATTTCTATCTGTCATTGTTCCTGCAGCTTCGCTGGTTTCTCACACTTCACTGAATGTCAAGACAATTGCTCCTACATGGCTAACTGCTCCTAATCAGAACAAGGATATTGTACCGAACAGTTACATCTGTAGAGGGCAAATCTTTCTGGACATGATATTTTAACATTAGTGGTAGGCAAAAAAGGAACAACAGCTATTTCTAGGTCAAGTAAGAATTTGTGATTTGAATAGTTTTTGTCTGCTAAACTGTAACATCTGCATATATAGACAGATGTACTTACCTGCATTTTGATTCTGATAAGTTTGCTTGTTCACAGCTGAATAGATAGGATAAGGTGTTTTTCCACTCTCACAAGATCCACCATGTGCAGACAATTTATCTTCGTCAAACTAAAGTGGATATATTTTCATGCAATTACTTCTTTTCTTTTCACTGATCATATCTCTATTTAAAGGAAGTGTTACCCTGACTCTCAACATGCAGGAGGATATGGGCATCCTGTTTCTAGAAGACCATATTATATTATAAAGTATATACGGCATTAATGCAACAATGGTGCATCCTATTTTTGGATCAATCTCAGAGGCCACATGTTCCTTGAGAAATTGTTATAACATAATTTTGGTTGTTGTTAATACAGGGATCACCCTTCCTAAATTAAATTAAAATAATGTTCATATTTTCTTTTTAAATCACCAAGTAATTGAAGGAGTTGAGATTGAGGTCACTGAAACCTCATTAAATTTTTGATTTCATGAACATGACCAATATGAGTATGAATTCCTAGGGCATAGGTGAGATCATCCAGTGGGATCCAGAGTCAGAAAAGGTTGCTCATTCATGTTTTAACTATCAAGGAAATCTGAACATTGTTTTCCACCCACCTTATTTAGTAGTTTATGCACAAGAAAATAGGACCAGAAATCAGTGAGAGAGTAACATTCATCTTCTGCAGCCTCTAGAACAGCTTTGATTGCTTTATTAAAATCCCACTGGCCTTGGACAAGATTTTCAAACTGATGTTTACTCAAATTCTCTATTTCTTCTGTCCAATCTTCATTTTTGTATAGGGCTGGCAAGCACCTTTGAAAAGAACAAGCCAAATGTCTTTGGAGTGAGGGAAGTGTGGAACTCACCCACAATGAGTTTGAAATATACAGTATATATATACTGTATATATATATTTAACAGTTCATGCTGGGCTGGAAAATAAGGAATTTGAAATCTGAGTTTCAGTCTGGTTGCCTGGTCAGCAGGCAGTAGAGGGAAAAAAACTTGATTAAAACATCAGATGAGAACAAAAATTACATTCTTGTAAGAATCAAACTCTCAAAACTCTAACTATAATGAATATTAGAGAAAACACAGGGTTCAATAACAATTTCAGTGGTAACTGCAAATGAAATTCTCTACTCATATAGAAAATTAGAATACAGGTATGGCCTTCAAGAAGCTTTAAAAACGCATATTTTTCAACTGGCTTTTAACAATGTACAACATTGTTAAACATTTAACATTTAATTTTGTTGTGGGATCTGTAGGTTTAATATGCTTGATTTTTGTACACTACAGGGTGACTTTGCTGGTGAGTGGCCTCCACATCTGATAAATAAATAATAATAAATAAAATAAATTGGAAGGAATAAGGAAACTCAAGGATTGCAGAAGTTCAAAAATGTTTGGGGGAAAAATTAAACAATGAGTCTGGTGAATACAGCATGTAGATTATTATGGAAGAAATCCAAACATGATCACCACTGGGGAGGAAGAAGAGATTAAGATCCCTTTTCCTACATAGCAATCTTTATCAATGTAATTATTATTATTAGCCCTTTCTCATTTTTCCCTCCCACTCCACATCCTGTGCACCTTGAACCCACTCAGTCCTTGTTGGGCAGTTTTGGATTAGTTTTTTCCCTCTCCATTTTGCATGGGGCTGAGGGGGATGACAAAATGGGTGACAGGGATAGACTTTTCTCCCTTAGAGATTCTAATCAAAGCCATTATTTGAGGGAAGTTAATGTTGCCCCCAGACAACCATAAAAGAACGTAGCCTATCAGATAGTTAATTCCTAGTAGTCAAATCTTCTGCACGCCATCTCACCAGTGCTACTGTATACACTTATCCTAACTCCAATCTTTTATGCATCTAATGAAGAAGACTGTATCCTTCAGAATGTATGCCATAAAAATGTGTCAATTGCCACAAGACACTTGGCTGTCTAATCTCCTTGCAAACAACATCTCCTTGCAATCTCCCTGCAAGCAGCATATTCTGAGGTCAGAATCACTTGTCTCTTTATCTTAAGCAGCAGACATCAATATAAAAACTAAAGGAAGGCAGAATCAGTATGAAATTCCGCTGGTTCTTCTATTTCACCTGGGCTCTTTTAGCATAAGATCATAGAGGTTCTTCTGTTATTTTACAGGTAACTGCAGTGTGAAATTACAAATGCCCAGTCTCTCTCCCTCTTCTTCAGACAAATTAGCATGAAGTTACAGTGAACCTATGTACAGGAGAATAGTTCTGATTTTTTTAAAAAAAGGAGAGAGAGAACCTAACAAATTTGGGCAAAAGAAACTGGAAACAGATTAATATTGTTTATTGAAGAGACTCAGGAGTGGTTTTTTTTTTAATCTTTTAGTTAAGGTGATTGGCTTCTAAAAGTTCCACTCATTCCAGGTTTACACATCTAAGCTCTAGTATATTTTAGCATGGCTTGTTTATAAAAACACAGTTGGCTGGATTCATACACTGTTCTAAACCATGAACAATGATTGATAAACCATGTTGACTAGGTTCACATAGCAGTCTGAGCCACAACCAACAAGCTATCTATTCTGAGTTAGTGTGAAGGGTTTATTACTGGGCTTCAAATCTCCTTGGGACTTTTTTCTTGCTGCTAATGAAGACAGAATTCTGGCTGAGATTAAAGGTGATCTGATCTAGCAATGTAAGATACTCTATAACAGTAACGATTTGCTTTCATTGCCATTAACGTAGACTTACCAGGTAGAACCTGACACCCCACCCAAGTACATGACACAGTCCAAAAGGTTATATTTCTTCAGCTCTGCTAGAGTCCCATACAGTGCAATCATAGCCCTCACAGCTCCTCCTGCTCCCAAGACAGCAATATTGGGGATGTTCTCCTAATGGAATCAAAAAGGGAAGATAAAGATCATGTCTCCTATGAGTTCAGCACAATTCCTGATTATGATTGCATGGAAGTATCCACTCAGTTTTCTGGGTAACAGAATAGTACAAGTTTGCCCTTACCTTCTACTGAGGTTTTTTTTTTCCTCCCCCCCAATTTCCTGATCTAGTCTATAACCTTCATATTCCTTGGTAGTCTCTTATTCAAGTACTATTCAGCCCAAATCTGTTTAGTTTCCAAAATCAGGCAAGTTCGGCAAGGAGTTACTACTTGCTGATATTCCATTATTTAAGAAGTACTCAGAAGGTATTTAACAGGGCTATACTTAATAGGGCCCTATTTAATAGGGCTGTACTTAAAACTTGTAGTTTTAAGAATGAGTCAGAAGAAATACTTCATAATGAGCATGAGTACAAGGGTAGCACTTTTCTGCTACTTATTCAAGCAACCCATCTTTTTTTCAGGGGACCATAAGAGGGTAAAGAGGAAAAGATGTGGCTGTTTTAAAAGCTAAATCAACTTTGAATTGACTTCTTAAATTTATTTAAGGAATTTCAGGGAAACACATTTGCAAATTTGCATTTTAAGAATGCAGCTGTATTAATTTGCATTGGAATACACCATCTGCTAGCAAAGTTTTCATGATGCTGAAGTTCTTCCACTTGTAAACTGATGTATGTTCCTCCTACCCTCTCCCATCATTTCCCCTCATGAAATAGAGGGCCTCTCCTATACTTCTGCAGCTAATGAAGGCAACTCTGTATCCCATGAAAGGAAATGTTCACCCTGCCAGGTCTTGTTTCATTTGATCATTCCATTGGATTAGCATAGCCAGACAGTTACAATAGCTGCAGGCAAATTTCTGCAGCTTGACGCAAGAGTCAACATTTTTTACAATCCATCTTTTATGACTCCCCCTTGGTCTCTATACAGCAACCTTTTTTTTAATTGTTTATTTCCAAATGAATGGTGGAGGCCATGTTGAAGTGGAGGCACTCTTGAATCCTTTCTTTTTGGTAAGGGGAAATGAAAGGAAAATCAAAACTTGTGGAAGCTTATGGAGAAGTGGACAGAGTCAATCCTGGCTACCATATCCGAACTGCAAAACTTTGGATGACCATGAGATGGGAGCAAAGAGATAGAGAAAGCAGTACCTATCTTCTGCCATCTAGAGTCATGCAGGTTTTTGTAGCCTGTATGCGGCAGGTCTAGGGAGACTGCCCTCGATCAGTTGAGGCAATCAGTGAATGGCAGACATTCTCTGCAACCCCTGGACTTCTAGAAATTGAATTATATCAATGTGAATACTGCTATAAGCCTGAAGAAAGGTAATGTTGGAAATATTCCCTTATTTGTTTGTTTGTTTGTTTGTATAGCCACCCATCTCAATTAAGCATGGTCTTCAAAGACCTGGGAAATGGGAGGGCTAGTGGCACAGAAAACCATTAAATTTAAATGGCAAATGCTTAGATTTTGACTTTATTTGGTGAAGGATCTGCAGAGATTTTGTGGCATTTATCATGGTTTGTTGCTAGTCCCTTTGAGGTAGATATATAAATGAAAACCTACTGAATCACATTGTATCCCAAGCTTGCCAAGAGCTTTTTCCACCTTTTCCTTCCGAGCAGCTATAGCTGTTTCTTCACCATCTGAGAGAGATTTTGAAATTCGGACTTTGATCTTTCCCTACCAAATACACATAGACATAACAGACATGGGAGAAATATATCCGACTTTACTGGCAAGTTTGATAAGAGGAGTTAATATCACATTATGACCCTCAGGCAAACTGACTTCTTGGATCAGTTGCTGTAGAGATGATCTTCCCCCAGTCTATACAGAAAATCCTTTCAAATGGCACTAGAGTAAAATCTCAATTGTCCAGACCATCATTCATGGAGTTTGGATGCCATAGATAGAGCTTTTCTTTGGACTCCCCCCGCCCCTCCCACAACTAACACTTCATTCTTTCCCAAGCAGTTCACACAACTAATTTACATCGTGTGCATCAATTAGCATTATTTGTATAAATGTATGTTTTATATATATTTTAGATCATTTGCATATATTTGTGTCACAAAACATGTAAATGCAAGCAGTGTGATTTACATCAAAGACAAACTTGGATTTAACAGGTGTCCCTTCCCTTTAATGATACATTACACTGAAATTTTACAATATGGGTTATTGAGGAGAAAGGAAATGTCTGCATTCATGGTTCTATCTTACCACATTGTGCAGACAAACCTTAGTGATTTCATCTTCATATGCAATGTTATTTAAAAAGAATGTACAGCTGTGCTTTTAATTTTGCTGATGTGTGAAAATAGAAAGAGGCAGAGTTTACCTTTCCAGCTACATTCGTTTCCATTTTGTATTCCAGGCTTCTTTTGGTCAGTTTAGGGAACACGGAGTCAGTAGTAAGGTTCCTCTGAGTGTTCGGATTTTATAAATTCTGTCAGGCAGTGAAATTCTTCCCTTCACAGAAGGGCCACAAAAAATTGCTGCATGAAATGGTACATTCCAGGTCTCCGTTCCTGGAAGAAGCCAGTGCTGAATGTTGTACCAGAGTAGGGTGGAATCTGCTGACCGGTAATATGATCCCTGCAGCATTTCTCCTCTATGCTCCTCCTGGCTTTCTAACTGTTGATGATTCACTCCATTCCACAAGAGGTCAGCTAATGTGGCATTTACAAGAATACTAAGGCTTGGAGTAGACAGGGGTAGTTTTAATAGACTATTAGGTTGAAGTATTCTCGGGGAATAAAATACATTGTACTACACTCCCCTCCCTCCCTCTTTTTCTCTTGCAGAACTTTTATTCTTCTATGAAGCTTCAGATTTTGGGAAATAAAGAACTAAAGAAATCTTGACTGGATGACTGGCTTATTTTTAAGACATGGTGGCTGAGGATTTTTCTGCCTTAAAAAGAGAAGACCCTGTTCTGCTGTTTGAATGATAGCTTGGCTGCCTCAGTAATCTGGCCATTTTCTCTTTGAAATTCAAGACTGGATGTTTTACAGAAAGAAGTGGCAAAATGATGCCTCAGGTGACATGTACTCCACAAACCCCTGCTACGTGGCCCTTGGAACACATTCAAAGCACAGTTGCTGAAAGACAGCTGCACAATTTGTATAAGCTCTAAAATAGGGTTAACGTGGCTGCTTGAATACTGTCTTTACAGAGCCACATCTCAACAATGCTAATAAGTCACCCCTGTAGGGGTCCAGCTGTGTAGACCAGAAGACTACAAGCTGATGTGAGAAGCATTGCCTATTTTACCAAATATATATGCAAACAATAGAAGTCAGTCGGTCCTATTGTTTATTTATATTTCAAATTTGTCACCACCCATCTCACTGCAGAGTGACTCTAGGTGGTTTACAGTTTGAATTTATCAGCACATGTCACTGTAGATTTCTTATTAATGTAACACGCGAAGATTGTAATTCACAATGTTTGGCATGCTAATATCACATGTCCTTACAAAGGACCAGGGCTTTGATCTCACTGCCATGACCACCATTTTGACTGACACACACAGGCTCTGGTGCTTGCTACCTTAATAACAATCTTTCCTACCCAAACTATACCCCTTTATATCCCATCTGTTGTCCCACACTTGTGTTTTCTATTAAACACCTTTTCCTTTAACAAATGCCTCCAATTAACTAATTGGAGGCATTTGTTAAAGGAAAAGGTATTTAACAGAAAATACCTGACTGTACTATTGTAAAATTGTGGGAACATACCAAAATTGAAATATCACTGTGACACTCACTACAGTAAGCCCTGGAGAAGCATGTATAGAAAATATATTAAAAAGAAATCAAGTTCAAGGTTTTGAGCCGCCAAATGACAAATTACGATATCCAGCTAGCCATAGGGGTCTGGTGGGATCTTTTGTTTATTGTAGAACAGTAGAAGTCTTGCTGTGGCTAACTCTGAAAAGACTCCCAATCCTACTCATACCTCTAACTATGGGGTATGAATAGATTTTGATGGGATATGGTACTTAAGTGGTTTTCGTGCTTATAAAATTTTGCCCATGGATTGAACTGGCGCTTGTACCTTTGGAGTTACCACACTGTCCCTGAAGGTGATTAACTGCACCTTACAAGAAAAACTGATTGCAACAGACCCTGTTCCAGTTGGTTCACATTATAGTTTTGTTACCAAGTATAGGAGTAGGGTTGAATCATAGAGGCTTATTAGCTTTAGGAAATTGGACTGAGTGGATGCTTAGTGCTACCATAAAAGCCTTGAAAAATCTTAACAAGGAACAGGGAGGAATTAGAGAAGTTGTCTTGCAAAAGAGGCATAGTCTGTCCATATTGTGGGCATCGCAAGGGGAAATGTGTGCTATGATACATGCCCATTGCTGTGTGTATATTTCTGACTATCCAGCAGATATAAATAGAACCATATATGACATGACTCAGATTTTAACAGAAAACCACACTAAGGAAAAAAACCAATTTGACTTATGGCTCATGGTTGCCTAACCTTTCTTGGTTATGGGCAGTATTTGGATTTATACTAGGCCTTATAGGGATTGCACTAATGTTGTTGTTTCCAGTGTGGTAGGCCTCTGTGTGCAATGGAATGTGCCAACATAAAGAAGCATACACAAAATTTTATGATATTCCACCACAACCCTGTTTCACAGGAAGCTAACTACTTTCTAGAACTGAAAAATAGGCAAAAATAGGAAGAAGAAGGAGTATTAGGTATGTTCACCACCTTGAGTTATTTATAAAAATAATAAAAGCGGGATAAAAAAACTTTAAAAATCTAATCTAAAATTGTGATGAGACTTATGTGAACATTGATAATGCCACCTAGTCTCAAAGGGGGGAAATTGATGTATAAGACACCCCGCAAATTGCTAAAACTCCTCATAAGATTGCTTACAGAAATAATAAACATGATTTTAATAGAATTTAGAAGCATAGAGTAAAGACGCTGGCAGAGTGTTGCAAAACTAAGCTTGCTAAACGTAACCCCAAATATATCCTGGGGCAAGGCAAACAGCAGGAAACAAGAAACAGGAACTGTGGTTAGAGATGCTGTTGAAAGAGAACAGATATTGCTGTGGTATGGTAAATACAGATTAGCTTGGGCACTAGAAGTGTTTATGTAATCTTAAATGTCTTAAATGTTGCTGATCATTACAAAATATTGTATAAGAAATAGTAAAAACAGCAGTTGAAGATTTCTTTCTAAGGAAAGGTCAAGCAGCGACCTTGAGTAATTAGGTTTGTGGTAAAAATACTATAAAGACCACTGAATAACAAGGGTAAGGTTGCACAAACTTTGAGAGAGATCTCCTTGTGTCCTTTTCTCTGTAGAATAAAGCTTACTTCAAACTCCACTTGGTGTGTTCATTTGGGTGTTCAGCACACTAGGATCGAATCCGGTTTTAGATTGGGACAACAAAATGAACATGCTTTATTCATATTCTTAAGTTTATGACCTGCATCTCAGCTACGTTTGTTTGAACTACTGAACAGATTCCTGATCCTGTTTAATTTAAGACTGAGCAATCCATAGAATTCCCTAGCCTTCTTTTGAACAGGAGCCTGCATAGCTAAGTATTTGTAAAATAAGTACTTCAGAAAAGATTTGGGATGCAGGTAAGAACCGTGTGTATGTCTGCACAGCCAACTGTCCTCTGCAGAAGGACAGTAAAAGCTAGTCGTTTTCCTTCCCTTTCTTGTCTGCCCATAACCTATCTGTCTGCTATAAAACATTTCAAGCTCTTTGAAATCAAAATAACTATAGTGGGAGGAATGGAGAGAGTATGCAGTCCCTGGAGTCTTGTTTGGTGTTTTAAATTGATTTTTTAAACAGCGGTGGCAGCAAGGAGACTGATTTAATGTTTTATCATTATATTGGCTTGGCAAATGTATCTCTATGAAGTAGTAGTACCAATGACCTGGAAAGCTGAGAAGAATGTTGGAAGGTCAGGCAATGCTTAATTTAGTGGATCTCATCTAACAGCAGGACTCTTATTGATTTTAATAAACCCTATTTTTTTTAGAGTAAAGCTCAATATACAGGAAAGGCAGCAGCAATATACAGTCTGCTTAATATCATATTTGTATTTTAAGGATTGTACAAAAAGGGTTGTAGCTATGCTTTATCCTATTCTTACAGCTGAGCTAAGTGTGAATTGATTTCTGAAATCAGCATATTTGCAATGCTATGTTGCAAAGAAAAACCGTAGCAAGTCTTCTGTAGTTTTGGGTAAAAATGCTAACAAGATGACTTACTTGCCAGTTTAATTTCTCTGTCTTGCCAACAGTTCATGCAAAGTAAATTTCAGTATACCTTAATCAAGTTGTTAAACCTGTTCTAGGTAAGAAAAGAGGAGAGGAGAGGAGAGGAGAGGAGAGGAGAGGAGAGGAGAGGAGAGAAAAAAGCCTCCTTCAATTCAAATTCGATGCCTAATGACTCCATTGACATCTTCATGTAGTTTCATTTTGTTTTGTTCTTTTCTTGCCAGCCTCATGGAAATGATTGGCATTGTTGTTTTCAGGGATTCTTTATTTTTACCTTCCTGTCTCCCATTAGGACTTGGGATTCTCTGAAGGTTCCCATCCAAATACTAACAAGGATGACCCCATTTAGGTTTTGTGCCAAGCAAGGTCTCATAATCCCATTTTCTCCCATTTTAGATAGGTCCAATAGAAGTTGAAGTTTTAAAAAGTTGTACTTTAATAGCTCTCTTCTTTACCTCAATGAGTTGTATTTGTTGATTTTCGGCATTTCTTCTATAATCCCACACAGGCTGCTTATATTCCATTCCATTTCCTACACTAAAATGTATACTACCTATAGGCAGTAGCATTCACATTGCAAAATGAAATATAATATTTGAGAGGTAGCTTGATATTTATTTAAATTCTTTACAGCCTGGATTGTGAGGTCCATTGCACAATATCTACAAGAAGAATTTCTTAAAACTTTTTGGGGGGGGGCACAATCGGGAGCACCTTGGGTAGAATATATCTTCAATTCTGGTTTAACAGATACTGAAAGGGAAAAAAAATGAAACAAAATCATGAATGCTGGGGGAGAGGCCACAAGTCTGTATGGCTAGAAAGGAACCATGTGGTAGAGAAACAGGAGTAGTAGAAAACACTATGCGTCCAGTCTGTTTGCACATGTTTGTTAACCCTTTCCCATCAAAAGAAAACTCAATGTTATCGATTGTAGCCATTGCAGCACTAAATCGTGCCTGACTATTGACCATGCTGTTTGCAATTGGAATTGTAATCCAAGGCACGTTGAGGAAGTCTAACATGTCAGAGTCGCCGCATTCAATGCTGAGTAAAGACTCCATGAGACGCAGGCTTGTACGAAAGCAATTTACTCAGGTGTAATGCATGTGGTTACAAACAAAGCCAAGGTTGGCTTGGCACAGGTTATATAGCATTTTATAGTCTCCCCATTTCCTGCGCTTTGCAAGTCCTCCTGTTGACTGCTCCTGACTGCCCCTGCCCGCCTTCACCCATCCTTCGCTCGCCCCTTGACCTCGGCTCTCCCCGCCCCAGGTCAGTGGCAGGTTCAACCAGGGTCCTTTTTTTTCTGCTGCTTTGCTTGCGTGGCAGGTCCCGTGAGGCTGGCTCACGATTGCTCTTGATGGGTGGTTGAGCGTGGCTTGAGCTGCAGAGTTTCTTGTCTTCACTGTTGGCTGCTTGCCTGCGGCGGTTGGGGGAAGTCCCGTCTGTTGCAAAGTAATTGATTCCTGCCGCAGGTTGATTGCTGCCCCCTGTCAGCAGTTTACTTGCGGTTTTGCACTTCCTCTTTTGGTTGCCTGTGCCTGAGGCAAGGAAACTGACTAGGCGCGTTTGAAATTAGCTAGGCCGAATGGCGGCTAGCTTGAATGGCATGTGCCATGCCAGGCTGAACCTGACATAACAGATGCTTGTATTTTTCATTTCTTCAGAAGATATCTGGTTCTGAGAAAGTATTTGCCTCAATTCTTTGAGGATGAGAACACTCAGGTAACCTTGGAAGAACTTTACAGAGGAAATCAAACTTTACTGAGGCTTTGCATAGAAATGTTCCATATCTTTTTTCAATTTGAATATAAATGTGCACCAGATCACCAACTAAATGTTCACTTTCTTTACAGATGATTTTAAAGCCATGCAAAGAACTTTGGCACCCCCTATAGTTCTTTGCTATGTGAGACTTCACAAGTATCTATCATGTGTTGTGTCTCTTGTAGCTTCAAATGAAAGTGAATTATTTGTCCAGTTTAGGTAACCTGTAAATTAAAAATGGAATGAATCTTTTAAAAGGCACACATATGGGATCATTGAGACTTTATTTAGGAGTTTCACAATATATTTCATTTGTTTCCCAGGTTAGAAAGCCGATATACAAGTTGAGTGTTCCTCATTTGAAACCAAAATTGTTATCACCCACATGCGGTTGATGAGCTCTCATGTGGTTCAAAGCATGATTTTTGTATAGCCAAAGCAGCATCAGAGAGAGAGGGAGGGAGGGAGAAAGAGAGAGAGAAATGCAGAAACCTTCAAGGTTTCTACAAGCCCCACAAAAATTTAGGAAAAAAAACTTGGCAAAAACCCTAAAATTAATCTGTTGAAGATTAATCTGTGGAAAGAGATGAGTTGGACCTAATTAGAAATGTTCAGCTGACTCAAATCCCAAATAGGAATAACTTGTTCCTTAAATTCAGCAAAAATGAATAAACAAAATAAAAAGAAAGATAAGAGGCCTAAGATAAGAAATCAAAGAAAAGAGACTACATTTTATAGGATGCCCTTAACAACTAATTTATTTTTGGGGGAGAGGGAAGTATCATGTTCATCACACTTCAGAGAATTCCTCATTATGAATAATTTCATAACGCAGATTTGATGCACCTTGAAAACTTCTTGAAACTTCTTAGTTAACCTAAGTTTGGAGGGGGGGGGGTTAGGCTTGTGTTTTATGTTACTAATTCTTTAACATGGAGTAAAGCATTCTGATCTGATACTACATGACAATTTAAAAAAATAAAATCAGTCAGTCAATCAAGTTTTTTTCTGACTCTCCCTCATACTAAAATGATTTGGCAATACATAGAGGACAAGCTGAGATTTCTGCATCTACAAGGCATTAGGCAGTGTGCAGGAATATATTAGTTTGTGAAAAACAGGTAAAGGAGATAGAAAACAGAGTAGAAGACCATGCATATTCCATTACCCTACTCCTTGACAATGTGAAATCTTGACAGCTATTGAGAGTAATTTCAGAAAAAACAATGGGTATGTAATAAAATAATGGAGTCATAGAGTTGGAAGGGGGCATTTAGTCTACTGTGCACTCAGTGCAGGGATCCAAAATGAAGCATCTCAGGCAGATTTTTGAGGATTTGAAATGGACAGGATCCCAGCCTAAAGAAATGTTGTTAATCATTTGTCCTGGCAAATGAGGAAAAATTGCATTCCTGGTTCGTATCACTTTGCAGACTCGTATCCATAATGCTGCTTCATTTCTAGAATAAAATGAAACATATAAAGTAGGGTTTCCCAACCTGGGGTGCCCACACCCCCAGGGGGTACGAGATGGAATTTCAGGGGGTGCAACCATTTTATGCACTGAGTTAAAAGCTTTTTTTTTATTATTTCAATTTGTTCATCCACATTAGAAATTAGACTTCTTCATCTTCAAATGTGATATTACTTTTGGTGGGGGGTACAAACATTAATCAAACATTTCATAGGGGTGTGGGGCATAGAAAAGCTTGGGAGCCACTGACATAAAGGAAGAAAACACTCTTCAGTGTTCTAGAAAATTGTCTCCATGACTTAAATATGCTTTCATGATAACTTTATTAAATTTTAAAAACAGAAAGATAAAAACTAACAAGGACTAATAATAATTTAAAAAAAAGAATAGAAAAAAAGAAGGAATAAAGAGAAAGATGGAGAACAGAAGTGCAGGAAGATAAAGAAAACAAAAGAAACAGAAATACCAGAAAGAAAGAAAAAGACTTCTGAATTCTTTCACAGCAGATATAAGTAAAACATACATTAAACTCTTACTCTAGGATTATAATTTAACATCCATTTTTTCCTATAATCTTTCCTATAGTTTATAGATTTCCTATAATCTATAAACTTCTAATTAGTAATTTTACTAATCAAATCCATATATCATAATTTCATTATTTTTGATTCCCCACAATTCCAACAGGGGTCCCCAATTAGCATTAAAATTAATTAATGTCTTTTCTCTAATCAAAGCTGTCAATTTTGCCATCTCAGCTAGCTCCATCAACTTCACTATGCATTCTTCCCTTGTAGGTAATATTTACTTTTTCCACCTTTCAACATATAAGTCTTATCCATGATTTAAATATACATTTTCCAAATATATAGATACGTACATGCATTTAACATGCTGAAAATTGTATTCTGTCTATCACTGGATGAGAGAAGTGGATCAGATTCTTTCATGTAGAAATTTTAGCAAAAATTGAATTTCTGAACATGCTGATCAACAATGAAAACATTCTCTGTAACATTCTGAGATTATAAAACTTTGCTGCTGTCTTTCCTGAAGGTTTTGAAGAGGGCTTCCTTCACCTCCCTGTTTCTCAAACTGTAGATAAGAGGGTTGAGCATAGGGGTCAGGACAGTGTAGAATACAGAGAAGATCTTGTGTAGTTCTTTTAATGTTTCAATCTCAGGAACTATATAGACAAGGAATACTGACCCATAGAAAAGTGTCACCACAATGAGATGAGATGAACATGTGGAAAAGGCCTTCTTCTGGGCAATTTTGGATTTAATGTTCAAGACAGTATGAAGAATGCAGACATATGAGGCCAGTGTTAAAAGAAAAGGGGGGCCTGTTCCCATAAGGCCTAGAATAAATGAAGCAAGTTTTACTAAGCGTGTATTGCTGCAAGAAATATTTGCCACTGGATAGATATCACAAAAGAAATGATCAATTTCATTGGGTCCACAGAAAGTAAGTTCCAACAAAAAAGAGGTTATGATAATATTGGTCAACAGGCCATTCATCCAAGATGTGAGGGCCAGCTGGAGGCAGAGTCTACCATTCATGAGAATGGTGTAATGTAATGGTTTGCATATTGCTAAATACCGATCATAAGACATCATCGCTAGAAGATAGCATTCAGTGGCTGCAAAAACTCCAAAAAAGAAATATTGTACA